GTGATTTTTTAATTTTTTTAATCCAAATATTAGTTTTTTTTTTTTTTTTTTTTAAATTTTTTTTTTTTTTTTTTTTTTTTTTTTTTTTGAGGTCCCAAACATCTTCTAATTTCAAAATAAAGAAAAGAAAGAAGAAAAGAAAGAAAAGAAGATCTGAAATGATAACATGGCGTATGCAAGTGTGGATAACCATGGTACTGGAAAGTCAAATGACAAGGATCTCTGTCTAGATGTTTTTATCTGATTAAGAGGCTTAATCTTGTTTTAAAGTAACGGTTTGTTTTTTGGTTGGTTGCTTAAAAGGAGTGCTATTGATGTTGTTGACATTCCCACATTGACTTGTTACTTGTTGATACAGAGTCCAAAAGCAAATTTCAAGAATAAAACTTGATTAAATAATCAAATATAATTGTTTGATTCAGTGATCAAATTTTGTGTATATAAAAGATCCGATTGAGTAGTCATATGAGCTTTGATGTGAAAGGTCAGATCTTTTTACAAAAATTTGTTGGTGTAAAACAAAAACAATTTTGAAATAGTAAGATATACTGTGAGAAGTGGTCCTAGTAGCAATATCCATGTATGGGCTATGGCACTATACTCAAAACTTATGATACATCTTTTCAAGATAGATCAAAATAGTAAGGGTTATCAAAAAATTTAAATCAAAATATGTTCACTGTTGGCCAAAAATCATAGTTCATAATTTTAAAGGATTGGAAATTAATGAGTCAGAGTGTAGTAGCAGAGTATTTAGGGGGTGTTTGGTCCAGTTTTTTTCACCAAACTCATAACTTTTAGCTTAAAAAAAAGGTAAAACTAACTGTTTGTTTCAGCTTAATCATATCAACGTCAACTCTTAACAACTTTTTTTAAAGGCAAATAATCAGAATCTGAGAATCAACTCCAAGGGTGCTTTTGATTATCAAATTAAGCAGAGGGCCAACGTTGAGGGCCAAAATTACTTAAATGCCCTTCATCAATTTGAAGTATTACCAAATTGCTACTATATAAACCACAAAGGTCACTGTTCACTCTGAGAGAGAGAAAGAGAGAGAGTAGTGATTTTCGACATGAGAAAGGTGATTTCCAGCATGACAATCGGCAATTTTTGATGTTGTGAACCAGATCTTTCTCTCTCTCTCTCTCTCCGGCGTTGTTCTTCGGGTATGTTATTAAACCCTAGTGATCTGAAACCATTATGATGCGAAACCCTAGCGTCGCGATGCGATCAACCTTCCGTGTTCTCTCCGGCTTGGCGATGAACTTTCCGTGTTCTCTCCGGCATCGCGATCGAGCCTCTCTCTCTTTCTCTTCGCGATCAACCCTAGCTCTCTCTGTGTTCTCTCCGATTTTGCAGAGGGCAGTCAACGATAGCTAGGGCTCTGGCAGTAGCTAGGGTTTGGTGTTCTTGTAATGAATTAATAAATTAAAAAAACTTACCAATTTTTATTTCACAATTATTGATATAAATTGCACAATTTTATTTCAATTAATATTGATATAAATTTATTTCAATTAAATAACTCCTAAGTATTGTAATAAAACAAAAACAATTGTTGCTAATTGATATTAATGGAAAAAAAAATGAAATAACTTCTATTAAATGAAATTAGAAAAATGAAATAACAATTGTTGTAATGAAATGTATCAATTTTTATATTAATTGATACTAATTATATTAACTTCTATTAATGAAATAAATTTTTTTAAATTAAAACTGAAGAAAATGAAAAAATAACAATTTTTATATCTTATAAAGGCAAAAAGGACATTACATAGCAAAAAGTTACTTCACAGCTTATTTAACAAATACTACTTAGCAACTTAAATTTATAATCCAACAACTATACCAAACAGATTAATAACTTCTGATTAAAGTCATAATTTATAATCTGTTTTAACAATTACATTAAACGGGGCATAATCTCAGCTTGATTGATAACAAAGAATAGTTGAGCTCGAGTTTAGAAATTGAGTTGGCTTTGTCCAGTGTTTTAGAAACGTAAGTTTGACTTGAGTCAACTTGATCACAAAACAAGTTGACGTCGAGCTCAATAAGAGAATATTATGGACAAAATATAAAAAATGTTGATATTATTAATAAGTTTATTTTCAAATATATAAATTTATACAAATACCAGATAAATAAATAAAAATTAGTCAATAAAAACAATTGATAAAAGAATGAAAATAAAATGTATATGTGTACATTAGCCCACAGAAAACCGAGTTAAGAAGTACTTGAGCTTAGCTTAGATTACTAAATAAGTTTAGAATTTTAGCTTGAATGTATTCATTTAACAAATAAATTAAAGTCAAAATGAACTAAAATTTTGAACTATTTACAAATAGTTTGGTTCCTTTACTTTCTAATTCCTTACGTTGTATTTGTATTATGAATTTAGACAAAAAGTCTGAAAGAAAAATGAAAATTAAAAAAAAAAAAATTTATATTTTATTCACATTTCTCTCATTTGCTTTTTGTTTTTTTTTAATTTCTTTTTCTTTTACTTAAATTCATGATCAAAACACAATTTTAATCTCTTCTCGTTTATATCCTTTTGATTAAAGTGTGCTCGCCATTGGCCAAAAGCACAACTAGAAGTTTAGGCTGCAAATTATATAATTAGTTGTCTTATGATTCTACAAACTTTCGTCATTAGGTTTCAACAACAATAACTATAGAGGTTTATAGACCTTAAACTCATTTTTTTAAAATAAAAAATAACATCCATCTTTGTTCCCACCAACTTTCTTACACGCACAAAAAAATAATATTATTGTTTATATAATGTGCTTTTTTATATTCATATATACTCTTAGTTCTAGTCCAAAAAGATATGTATATTTAACTAATCATGAAGTTATAAACCACTTTGCCCATAGGAGCTCAAGAAATTACCAAAAAACTTTAAAAAAGAAAAAAAAGAAAAAAAAAGGTTACTGGCTTAGTGGTTGGGGTGCATCACATCATCCAAAATATAATTAAATTACAAAAACAAAAGATTCTCTGGTTGGTAAGTCACAAAAATTTGATCAGCACGTTCATTGGGTAATTTCCTCTCCGAGAGTGGTAAAATCTCATTATTTGCATTCTGAATTTTGGTGTATTTTTCTTTTTTTAAGGGAAAATTTCTTGTCTATGCAAGGGTTGATTTTTTTTTCTTCTTCAAAATAATGATAAAGTATATAAATTTTAATTATTATAATCATATACTTTTTCATGTGTAAGTAATTATTTTTTAAAATTACAACTGATTTGTAATTTTTTTTTCTTTTTTTTTGAAAACTCCTCTTTAGCCACTAAATATTTTGGTAGAATTACATATCACTGGTTTAATTTCAAGATTACAAATTCATGATAAAGTTTAACATTTTAGTTATCAAAGTTCATAAATTTCACCACAGATCTGGAAAAAATTCAAATTTACACTAAAATATTATTTTTCCAAATATTTTTATGCTACATGATTGTTACTGTGTTATTTTTTTATATTTAATTTTGAATATAAATTAACTTTTAGTGTAAATTAAAACAAATTTAAACATAAAAAGCTAAAGTGAAAAAAAAAAATTAAAAACCAAAGTGAAATAATGGCTAAACATAAAAATGATAATGTGTAATTTACACTTCATAGAGTTATTCACATAATGAAAAAATTCACTTAAAAATTACACATCTTCAAGAGACTTTTTAGAGGAATTTTTTTTTTAAAGTCTTTAATATTAAGATTTTAAAAGATAAAGAATATACAATATTTTCATAATAATTAGGATCCCTCAACATTTCTACAGAGAAGATTTAACTTAGAGAAATTTTGCCCGGCTCAAAGAAATTTCGCCCAAACTCAGAGAAATTTCAATTTTTACAGAGAAATTTCAATGTGTCGGGGTCGAAATTTTTCTGAGTCAAATTTTTTCTATGAAAATGTTGAGAGACCTTAGCTAATAAAAAAAAAAAAAACATCTTGGACCTCTCTTACTACACAAAGTTTGAGAAGAATATTTTCTTCTTTATAAATGAGGCATGTTAGTTATTATTAATAATATAATCATATTTTAATCTCTCTAATAGGTTATTATTACAATAGTTATGTTAATAAAATTCTTTGACGCTAATTATATTTGAAGAGCTTTAGGAAGCTCTTTAAATAATTTGTAAAGCTCTTCAAATAATTTGTGTGTACAGATAAGTAAAATAAGAAAACATAATATTGGAATGCATAGATTAAAAATGAATTAGGAAAAATAAAGAAATTAGGTTGATTTGATAATCGTAAACTGTTTATTTTTTTTGTGTTTGTCTCTAAAAATTTGAATGATCTATTTTTAAAAATGTATTTGTCGTTCATTATTTTGAAAATAAATACAATAAAATAAAAATATTATGATTATCGATTTTATTTTATTTTATTTTATAAATAATATATATTGAAAATCTACAAATTTTATGAAAAAATCCAACTCAAGAAGAAAAATATAATATACGAGAGAAATCAAATTGGAACTGGAGTGTCTTCGTTCTTTTATCGAGTTGGACAGTTCAGTTTGACTCATTGGGTTGGATTTTGTATCATTTTTTGATACTTCGAATCGTTCGTATTTTAAAATTTGTTGAATATATCATTCTGGTAACAAAATCGAATTAATCAGATAATAAAAAATACATATTTGGATTATATTTTTTTGCCCTTTATATTTTTTAATATAAAATTAATTTAAATACATAGTTATCATTATTAATTAAAGTTAACTTTCAATAAGAACAATATATTTTAAGTAATTTAAATTATTAAAATGGGATTCCAAAAATAAACGACGAAGAGGTCTTTTGAAAAGTAAATTATAATCAATTTCTCATATTATAATCACTTATCCTCTTATAAAAAAAATTATTATAATTAATTTTTAATTAAAAAATTAATTATAATTATCTTTTCAAAATAGTCCGAACAGAGGGAGAGAAGCCGGTCTCTCCGGTCCCAAATTTTAAAGGATGCATGATAGGCTCCTGTCAAAGACTGCCTCAAATCACGGTCCGATTTCTGAAATTTCAGTGCCGTATATTTCAGCTCCACTCTCATTCTCTCTCTCTCTCTCTCTCTCCCTCTCAACGAGGCAAAGAGCTGCAGAGACGCGTCTCGCCTAAAAAGCATACAAAAAGTCTCAACTTTCTCTCTTCTCTCTCACTAGAATCTCCGAATCATCTTTCTTCGTTCGGTAGATTTCACATCCTATACATTTCAATCTATACACACATTCACATATATATATATATATAGAAATCGAAACCACCTCAACGACGACGAAGATCAAGCCCGAGACGACGGCGTTTCAGTTCTCGGATCCCAGTTTCGGAACCAGAGATCTCTCAAATGGCGAAGCGTGGATATAAATTGCGTATCCTCTGAAATTTTTAGCTCACATTGAGCTCTCTCTGATTCGAGTTTTTGATTTAATTCTAGGGTTTTCCATTAGTTTCACATGACCTGAACTACTTTCATTTAGCCATCTTGGAAAATGTATTTTCTCCTCTGTTTGGTTGCTGAGAAAGTAAAGAAAAACAAAAAAAAAATACCATGGCTTCACTTTTAATCAAATTTAGCTCAGCTCAGGTCAGCTGATTTAAGTTGTGGGATTTCACATTGTTGGGTCATTTAACTAAGAAAAATTTGAGGCTCAGGGGTTTATTTTTTGTTTTCTTGTTCCTGCATTTTCATGGCAATTAAAGAGATGTTAGAGTTTTGAATTTGATGGTTCATTTTTTTTTTGTTGTATTCGTATTGGATGCATTTGTTTTCTTGACTGAATTGAAAATAGAGGAGTTTATGGCTCATTCGGGTAGTGTGAATTGCCTTACTCTCGGGAAGAAGACGTGTCGACTTTTCGTTACCGGTGGGGATGATCAAAAAGTGAATCTTTGGTCGATTGGCAAGGCAACTTCATTAATGGTGAGTTTGAGCTTGGAATTTGGCTTTGGATTTATGATATAGTATTGATTAGTTTGGATTTTACAGCTTGTTGGAGGTGTGCTTGATTTGCATTGTGTTGTAAGTTCATTGATGTATTTGGAAAATTTGCATTGAAATAATTCATGATTAGAGAAAATCTTGTGATTAGTTTCCAATTATGTCAAGAAAACTACAACAATTAGGTTTTCTGTTGTCATCCGCTATATTTCTTGGCATAATTCGGAAATTGTGCGAGCAGTTTTGTGAAAATTTTGAGATATTTAAGCCTCGTTTGGGAACAGGCTAATTTAGTAACTTTTTAGCTATTTGGCTAAATATGAGCTAAAAAAAACTAGTATGTTTGGAATGGCTTTTTGACTTTTTACGAAAAGATGTGCAAAAAAGTAAAGAGAAAAGAGAATCTTTCACTTTTTGGTATGAGTTGTTGGCTTTTTAGTTTTTTTAGTAACTTTTTGACTTTTTTACTAAATGGGCTGGTTCCCAAACGAGGCCTTATTATTATATACGAGGAAATAGTGAAATACAATTGAGACATTCTGACATTGTTGGCTTAATGAAGTGTAGGAGTTATTTCTTGTTCATACAACTTCACTAACTGTGCATCCATTTTTAACATCTTATTTATTGTTGAATTTATGTATATTCAGCTTTGAAGACTCTCCTGCATTGCATCATTAATTGTGTGTGCAAGTATTGGTATTCAAAATATACTATGATTTGGTGTCACAGTTGAAGTAGCTGTGGTTACTTTATATGATGGAATAAGGTTGTGTTTCTTTTGCAGAGCCTATGTGGTCACACAAGTCCAGTAGAATCTGTAACATTTGATTCGACAGAGGTTTTGGTGCTTGCTGGAGCTTCTGCTGGTGTTATAAAGTTGTGGGATTTGGAAGAAACAAAGAGTAAGTCGTTTTGTTCTTCATTAGCTCAGTAAAAGTTGAGCCTAGATTGAAAGCATTGTTGCATGATTTTGTTTCTGTAAACTAACAGAAATACATAATTCTGTTTTGTTAAATATTAATTTTGATATATCATGTTTAATATAGATATATATAATGTAAATTAATCAATTTCTCACTGGGGTAATCTGGATTCCTGATTTGCAAGTAGTGGAACTAGAGTATATGTTTTCTATAACTGAAACTTCTTGACCTGCAATTTGTTGTAATAACACGGATTTTAAGAGTGGTGGGTGGCTTGTCCTAATCTAGTTGTTATTAATCTTGAAGTGTAGTGGTTCGCACTCTTACTGGACACAGATCCAATTGCACTGCTGTTGAATTCCATCCATTTGGTGAATTTTTTGCCTCTGGTTCCATGGATACTAATCTAAAGATCTGGGATATCAGAAAGAAGGGATGCATTCACACATACAAGGGTCATACTCGAGGAATTAGTGCTATAAAATTTAGTCCTGATGGTCGCTGGGTAGTATCTGGTGGATTTGATAATGTTGTAAAGGTAATATCAGACTTCTTGTTGGCAGTTCAGCCTGAAAGCAGTATTTTTTTTAAAATTATTGTTTGGATAATGATCCCTATTTTTTTGGACAGGTGTGGGATCTAACTGCTGGAAAGCTCTTGCATGAATTCAAGCTCCATGAAGGACATATTCGATCCATAGATTTCCATCCCCTTGAGTTCCTTTTGGCAACAGGTAAGTTATGCAGGGGTGGAACACGTATTTTTCTTACATAAAACTGTACACTTTGTTTTTCCTATTTGATGTATAGCACTGCATTACTGTTCCAAATCAATCCAAGTAATGAACAACATGCGCAACAAAACAGAGAGAGATGGAAATCTGAGGGGGAAATAATATAAGTGGATGGGGAATTTTCATGGGAGCAAAAATAAAAGGGCAATTCTTCAAAAAATTTAAATCATAAGTAAAAATAATAATTTAAAAAAAAAATTAATATGAGGCAAATAAAAAATTATTCTAAAACCATAGGTAAAATAAAATTTCTTAATCTTCTGTGGCCGCAATTTAGAATTTCATTGGGGAAATTTTGAAAAGAAATTCTAAAATTATATATAAAACTGAAATTTTTCCAAACTCAATGGGGGCAATTTCCCAATATGGGAGGGAATTAGATTTGCTTCCCTCACTCCATTTAGTTTACATTAATCAATTTTTTTTATGTATATATATTAATATATAATTTAGTTTCTAAAATATAATCAAAGTGATACATCATTATGTTTATATGTATTTCAATTTTTTTTTTAACTTTTTTATCACTCAATTTTTTTTTAAATATCTCGTATTACTAATCAATCTTTCTCCATCGTATATATAATACATCATTTCTCTTATTAGTATCATACCCCTCCTAACTCTCTTACTCCCTCCACTCTTGCCATCTTCTTGATTTTTCACACCTCAACAAAGAATTGGGCAGGGATAGAATACCACAAACCCAGTGTCAGCCCGCCCTTGTCTCATGACTATGATAAAAAGGCTATTTTCGTTTATGGAAATATTCTTTTTTAAAATATAAATCATCTATATAAAATTGAAACCATTATCACTTTGCTATTTTGTTATTTATGTGTTATGAGTGAATCAAGGTGTCGCTATAACATTAAATTAAAAATATAGAAGATGTTAATTTTTTCCATTATAATGTAGGAGAGAATCATACATGTAACTAGCCCAAATCCAACCAAAAGAAAAAGAATTAAAACGAAAAAACTAACAAAACAAAATATAAAAAAATTTCCACTTCTCTATTTACTTTCGGATGATAATTCCAAAATATCATATGGTGTTATTTAATTTTTCTATACAGGATTAATTTGGAGTATCATGAACAAAATACTATATGGTGCTCCGAAACTATTTTTGTTGACAAAGATAGTGCCCATCGCTTGAAAAATGTTGCCATCCGTATTGGGCTATGAATCCTTCTCTAGTATTTCAATTTTACAATAACACTCAAACCATTTTAGTAATGAAAGATCAGTATGTTTTTACTATTCTTATTATTTTTAAAAATTAATTGCTATTATTTTTAGATGTCTAATGCAACTAAAACTAAAAAAATTATAGTCTTATTAAATTTTACTGTGGAGAAACTAAATCCTACTTTTTGTAAATTGTTCGACAATTATTCATAATATATTGTATTCCAATTTTACAATTCTCATTAAAATACGATAAAAAAAATTAAAACAAATTTAAATTATTATCATTAAAAATATTTTTAATTGTTGAAATTAAATAAATTTTCATAAACAAAACTATAAATATAACATTCATCAATTATCTCTTGCATTGAAAAATATGTGAATTTGCCATAGTATTATTCCAGGTTAATTACATTGAGACCCCCTCAACTATTAACGAGTATCTTTTATAGATGATGAGGGTAAGTTGATAGTCACTAATAGTTGAGGAGTCTTGGTGTAATTAACCCTATTATTTTCCATAACTCTCTTGATGAAATTTTAATAAAATTGTGTTTTGTTGGTACATTTATCAAAAAATAATTCGTAGTTTGAATCAACAAACAATGATGAGTTTATTATCTTCGTTGTTGCATCTGATTGTTGTTTATGATTTTTTTTTAATATAATATATTTAGTTTTTACAACTAAAAAATATAATTTTAAGTAAATTAAAATTATTTATGAAATTTTTATTTATATTAAATACGAAAGTTAAAATTGGAATAAAATATTCCATTATAGGAAATTGAACTTTTTGAGAACAAAATTTATAAAATAAGACTTGATTGTCCATCTAAAAACCTTGATCTATCAATTGTAAGTTATAACAGGGCAGTTATGCATTTAAACTCTACTACAAAACTTGTATAAATTTCCAGTCTAATTTGATCATTTTAAAGCTTAAAAAATTAAGTTTGAAGTTTTTAGTTGTGGTTGTAGTTTAGGCTGAATGAAGCGAGGGTTTTTAGTTGTAGCACCGATTAAGGCGATTCTAAAGTGTGTGAAAGCAATTCAAGAGGAGGTTTCAAAGCCATGTTGTGGCCATGGTATCCACAGAGGCCAGTCTTGGCTCCCTTCTTCCCTCCATGGTGGCCGATTCTGCGATTTTCGGGATTCCCAATCCCAAGGGGACCTCTTGCGGCAGAGAAGGTGAAGCAATGTTGGTTGGGTCTTGGTGCCCTACAAAAATCATCCAAGCCTCATCATCATCATCATCATCATCATAATAGAGATGTGGTTTTCCTTATGATGCCTCACCTTAGTGAAGAGTTTGTGAGGTTGTTAAAACAATTCATGAAGATTGCTTTTACACTTGCAGTCTTGATTTTCGTTGGCTTATACATCAATGTTGGCGTCATTCTTCCTTAACATAACCCGCACATTCTGTGCCGTTGGCTCATGCACCTACACCACCATATATGATTTTGTACTGTCACTGGTTTCTAGTGCCGACGATCAATTTCTTGTTTTACTTGTACCTGCACCTTTAGATGACTATTCTACGCCTCCACCGGTGGTGTCTGGTGGTGATGATCAACTTCCTGCTACTCCGTTACCAGTGTCTAGTGACAATCAAGAGGCATTGTCATCGGTGTCTAGTGATGATGATGATCATGAACTTCCAGCTCCGTCACCTGATTTTGGTGGTGATGATAATGAATTTCTTGCTTCGGCACCGAGATTTGATGGTGATGAACTTGTTGCTCTGACACCGCTGTTTGATGGTGGCAAATGATGATGAACTTCTAGCGCTAGCACCCTTGTCTGGTGATGGTGACGATGAACTTCCTGCTCTGGCACCGGTCTTTACCGCTACCACCACCACTAGTATTACCTTACCACACCACTACCACCACTACCAAAGTCATAGGCACGACCATTGCCACCATCCTATCACTATCGGCGCTACCACCATCACCACTACTACATACATTTCACACCACACCATGCTACAACCACCTAATGTTTTGATACTCAAACTTTTAAGAGAATCACAAAAAATGATCGGGTCACGGATTACTAGTTCAACGTCAGGTCAACCAAAATCAAACTGGTATCGAACTGTGATGTCATAAATATATTAAAAATTATGTATAAATAACCAAAATAAATATTAAAAATTTAAAAATCTTAAATTTGTTTGACATGTTTCGTCTTTTTTTTTTTCTAAAGTAAATAAGTAAATGCACAAAATAATAATTTAACCTAAAATATTAAGTATACACTTGTAATATCTTGTTCATAGTACATAGACATACATATATGCATATATGAGTATTTAATGGAAAGGCACAAGTTGTCTCATCACATTAAAGTTGAAGTCATTTCATGACATTAATGTTTCAACTTTCAATGTAACAATTTATGTTCTCAACATAAACAAGGCTGATAAAAAAAAACATAGACTATATCATTGACCATTTACAACAAAGTATAGGAGGAGGGAGGGTCTCACCTTCGTCATAGATAGTCACGGTTGGAGCTGGAGCCCGTCGACTATCGAGGTTGGATTGGTGTGGCGTGTCGTGAGTCGGTGGATAGGTTGCCCAGTACTGGGGAAATGGTTATTGCCGGATTGGTTAGGGAGTTTCCAAAAGGGTAAGAAACCCGTTCCATCACCATCAACCGGAAACAGGTCAAATGGTTTGGCGGTTTTGAAAATCAAGAACGGTTTTTATGTTGTGAACGGTTCTTTTAGGTATTCAGGACCGAAAAGCTGACCAAGTCCCAATTCTACCTGCCGATTTGATCCAGTTTTTAAAACCTCACTATCCCCTCGCCACTATCACCACCTTCAACACCACCATTGATAATAAAAAAATTTCTTTCCATTCCATCTTCTTAATAGGCTTAACCAAACACAGGAATGAAGTTTGTCATTTAATTCCTATATCATTCCATGTTGGCAACAAAACATTGGACAGAGAATAGGCAATATTCCTTTCCATTCAAACTTGTGGTTCATTCCCCCTCTCATTCCATTCTCAGTTCATTTCATTTGTGTGTATGAAACGTACCTTGAAAGCTCGATAAATAAAAGTGTACAACTATTTTTTTTTCTTAATTGGCAAGTCTTTGCATCTAATACATGAGTCACTACGTGCAATTTTCAACTTGTGTTTGATATCATATTTGTTTTCCATTTAGACCAGAGAGAGAAAAATCCAACATTTGCTCTTACCAAAAAGGAAGGGGTGTTCTTTTTTTTAAATAATTTTTTGTGTTTGGGTAGCAAGGGGATCCTATGATGGTGGGCTATTGGGTACTGATGGTGGTTGGTGGGCTAACATTCATCTTGTTATCTGTGCATTAACCATATATTTAGTTCTATATTACAGTTGGGTTCGATATGTGTCATGGCTTTTCACATCATCTAACAAATTTATGGGATGTTGGAAATTGTGAATGATATGTCAATGCGCCTCAAATATAAATATTTACTGCCTCATTTGTGCTCTAAATTGGCTTCTGGTTTTCACTTTCCTTCTCTGGTAGAGTTGTCTAAAAGTGATGTGTGAGCTGATTGTTCAGATGTCAGCAGACAGGACAGTGAAATTTTGGGATTTGGAGTCCTTTGAACTAATTGGATCAACCAGACCGGAGGTATGTGGGCTTGTGTAATTCTAACCTTGTTGATAATTTAAGCTTTGTGAAGTTGATATTTATTCATTACCTTATTAAAGTTTGCAACAAAGAAATTGCTGAGACAAGTTGTTGAGTTCACTGCTAGAGGTTAGAAACACAATCTTTTTCACAATTTTCTTGTTCTTTTTTATTTTCCAGGCTACAGAGGTACGATCAATTGCCTTTCACCCAGATGGAAGAACCCTGTTTTGTGGATTGAATGATAGCTTAAAGGTTCCAATCTCAACCACTTGATATTTTAAGATTTGGTTTCGGACTTTTGGGAAAAGAAATTAGCCATTACGTGTCAACGCCCCTTTAACTGCAGGTTTATTCATGGGAGCCTGTAATTTGTCACGATGCTGTGGATATGGGATGGTCAACACTGGGTGACATCTGTATACATGATGGAAAACTCTTGGGTTGCTCGTATTATCGGAACTCTATTGCGATTTGGGCATCAGATATTTCGGTAGTTGCCTTCATCTAGTTCTTTTTAACTACTTCGATTATTTTCTTTCATTGTTACTTTACAAGCTTTTTTTCCCCTTTGCATCTTAAATTCAGTTTCTCTTTTTCCTCAAGTCCATTTGTCTTCTTTTTGTCAGCTTATCGAGCCATGTGGGGCTGGCTTGGTAACTGAGCAGAAACATGATCTTCAGGAAAGTCCTTTGGATAAAGTAGGGAGTCATAGAACGACTGCTTCAAGTGTGCGCTGCCCATCTCCAGATTATGAGATTAAAGAGATAAAAAATATATACGTGGATAGTAAGTTTTTGTATTTACTTGAAAATTGTAATTTCGGTCTTACTCAAAATCTGATTATGTTTGGATACCCTTTTTAATTATATTCATCCATTGACGATATGGGATGTGGATTCAAAGGTTGGGAACAGGGCGGTTTTTGGATATTTGCAAGGCCTTGATATACCAGTATTACACATGATGTTTATAAATTTATATTGATTTAATTTCTATTTAGTTGTGATATGCCTTTGTTAATTTTATAAATTCATATTGATTTCTCTAAGTTGTGATATATATTTGTTATTGATTTTATGTTACTTGTGGTCACACTGAGCAAGAGAATTTGTACATAAAATGTATTCATCTGCCCGTTCAGTGGTTAATTAAAACCTATGAAGCACTGGCACACGGGCTATTGTAAAAAAGTTGCAACTAGGCTGATTTGTGGGTTGTTTAGACAGATAGATTAAGTCTGCATGTAAGTGATGTGCATGCCTAGGCCTAAACCAGGGATGACTACAGTATTTTTACGTAGTTGCTCAAGTTGTGATCTTATTTGGATACCCAATAAATTCTCTGTAGTGTCTGTACCGTTTTGCTTTTGGTTATATTGTCTGTCCCCTAACATGTTGTTCCATGAAAATCTGCAGGTGGTACTCCAGTTGCCTCGAAAAGAGTTGGTTCTTATACGTCTCCTAAGGTTGTAAACCCCTCTGATTCCAAGGAAATCAATAATATACAAGCCCAGAAGAAGGGTCCTGCAGTTGCTGTGCATGCAAAAAATATTAGGCAAACAAATACTAAATCCTTCGTAGTACCTAGTGTTGTACCTCGGGACAATGCTGATGGAAAAGAATCGGCCAATTCTAGAAGAGAATCTGTTAGCTCTGGGAGGGCCAGCATTGGTATGTCACTCAAGCCACCTCATATACGGAGGCCATCAGCTACCAAATTTGATGGGGAGAGGCTGTCGGTGCCCATTGAATCTGAATCTTTTTGCAAAAGAAGTGATGATACTGCAGTGTATCCAAGCTTCCATCACAGGCTTATAGCAGATGATGATGCTAGAGAAACCTCTGTGGAAAAGCATTTGAATATCAAGAGTGTTGCAGAGAAGTTCGAAAAAGTTTTGTCACCAAAGGGACCATCTAATCAAGAAAACGGTTAAGTTCTTTTTCCTCTGCTACACTGCTATTTCTTTACATGACATTTTATGCACTTTCTGTTCTATCCTTTTAATTTATACATGTTTCTATTCTTTTTCTTTTCATGTCTACTTACTCTCCTGTTTATTCGTCAAATTATTTTGCATGAGTAGTTTTTATCTGTTCGCTCCACTTTATAGTCTTGTCCTGAAAATTGTCTTTGGCTACAACTTCTTGTTCTCATTCCACTCTATGAAGGGGCCCAACATATCTCATAGCACCTTCAGCTGAATTAATTTCTCCATACATAGGCAGCAAATTTGGTCTTCTATGCAGCTTCCATAAAACTCTTGTACCAACTGATGCTTTTTTTACCTTCTTATCTATTTTATTTTTGTAATTATTTCTTTCTTCCCTGTTCACTCATCAATCTCTGGGTCCATTTTAGTGATGACTGAACTTTTGAATTTTCTGTTTCTTAACTACCTTGCATAAAACATGATAAAGCATGTGTGTTGACATTATTGCTTTGTGAACATACAGATCTGGGAATTCATTGCCAATTACATTAACAAATCTGTATTTTGAGATTGAAACTTTACCTAGAACTTGCAGCATATTGATTCTGTTTTCAGAAGACATTTAAATTTTCCAGAAAGAAAGGGGAGATTACTTGACAAAACCAATTTCTGAAAACATCATTTCTTCCATTTCCAGTTTGAAATTCTTTAAAGAAAGACTAATGTAAGTTTTTAAACTCCATTTTCATTTCAATATTTATCAAAGTCCAGTACTTTCTCTTCTGTACTGTTTTCATTCCTCTCTTGGGTTTTTGAAAGGATAGAAGAATGTTTTGCTTCATATCGTACATATGTCCAAAATATGATTTATGTTTTTGAATGTTATCGTATGAGATTTTGATTATATATACAATCTATTGCTCACGAGTTTGATTGGTTTTTCTTTCCTTTTTTTTCCCTTCATTATTTTCAGGCAATGACCCCCCCAGTAGCTCTGAAGGGACAAATTCAGTTAAACTTGTCAATGGAGGTTTGCTATCAAATGATATCTACACTGTTTGAAAGGTCACATTGTATAGAATTTGATTCATTTAGAATTTGATTCTTTTGGCAGTGGCAGTTGTACAGGGAAGGACGCGCTCTCTGGTTGAGAGGTTTGAAAGGAGAGAAAGATTAAATAGTGATGAGGTTCAGGCACATGATACAACCGCTCATATAATAACTGAGACTGCTAAAACAACCCCCATGCTGGTAGGGTTTTTACCTACTTAAATGGTTATCTTTTTGTGACTGATGCATGGGCAAAGTGATGTGTGATATTGTTTTGATTTTGTATGAACACACATGCAGGATATTTTGAATTAGTAGGCTACTTGTATTACTGCTAATGATGCAGTGTATAATTAATCATAATTAAATTCTATGAGCACAAGCACTTGATCTAGCCTCATGTATCAGTGCCTGACTCCTATGGGATGTGGGAACATCATTTGGTGTCTTGTATTAGCACTCTGGTAAACACTATTATTTCCAATTGCTTAGAAGCAAGTTGGATTGTTCCATGCTGCTGATTTTAAATACCCTCATCTTCTGTTTGATATGACCTTTCAGTTTGGTCTATATTGGTACTTGGTTTTAACTGGATGGACCATACCTAAAGTTAAGGTTGGAAAAGTTGGGGTGCAAGGGGGATAGGCCATAGTTGTATAAATTGAAACCTATAGAATTAGTGTCCCAGTTTCTCTCTCTCTCAATTAAGGTTCTACAAACTAGTAGCCTAGCCGAAGTAATGATTGCATTTATGAGGAAGAGGAAGGGGAAGAGAGGCCTGGGGGATTGGGATTTGTTCTGGAGTGTATAATGTTAAACATTATATTTCAGTTTTCTTTTTTTCCTTCTCTCATTTAATGCAGACACATTTTTAGATTTTGTCTAAAGAGTGTCTTTCGAATATTCATCATGTTACGTGGCGACTTACAGAATAGAGATCCACAAATTACTGGAAGGGAGTTGACATCCTCAAATGATGGTGACTTAACTGAAGATTTGATGCAGAATCATGATGTATTCTTGAGTACCCTTCAGTCCCGCTTGACGAAATTACAGGTAAGTTTAGCGGGTCCAAATCAGCCTCCATTGCCAGAACATTTAAAGATGTTGCTGGCTGGTTGTTATGCCGCTGATAGTCTATTTTGGTGTACTGTTATTGCTTGTTACATGAATTGCATTCTAGCATCTTATTTTATATTACAAGGCTGTGAGCATGTAAAATTTTAATAAATTTGCAGGTGTTGCGGCATTTTTGGGATCGGAATGATATTAATGGTGCTATTGATGCTGTGAGGAAGTTGCCTGATCATTCTGTGGGTATTCATTGGATGATTTCAAGTCTGTTGCTTGTTCTGTTGGTAACCAGTTTCGTGTTTGTTTAATTTTTTGAAGGTTCATTCTCCCTGGTGTAGGTACAAGCAGACCTGATGAGTATTCTCATGGAGAAAATGGAGATTCTCACCTTAGATCTGTTTTCTTGCTTGCTGCCTGTGCTTTTGGGTTTACTGGATAGCAAGATAGAAAGGTAAATTTTTATGTTGCTGGGGGTCGGAAAACATTGACATGGGGTGCTGTAGTGTCTGTGATAATGCTTTCTGGATTCTTAAGTCCAGATTATTGGCCAAATCCAGGGGACCCAATCTACTAGTAATTTGTTCAGAGAGTTGACTTTATATTATAGTTTTCATGTTAGAAAATAGTCTTTTAATGAAGAATGGATTAATCTAGTGGAGGATCCAAGAACTCTTCCTGCACTATCTCTTGTGTGTATGTGTGTTTTCTGAAGAGGGGTGAGGAGGAGGAGGCAAAAGTGATTCATTTTTCTCTCCTCCCAGAAAAGGTCATTATCCAAGAAGGAAGTTTTTCTTACAGGAATTATTCTAATTAAGTACATAAAATCTAGATAAAAAACTTTTTTTTTTAATGAAGCACTAAAACCTAGAGAAAACTTGATATTATCTTGAGGTTTCTCATTTGAAATTGAAAAGAAAAGGTACACATACACGCAAAGGAAGCAGAAATTATAAAATGAAAGAAACAAGAGCCTTTTATAATAATACTTGACAGAGATGTAAGATTTCCTTATAATTCCTAGAGAAAATCTCTTTTCTGATTGATGGTTATTAATACAGTGAAACGATACTTGACACAGCATGTATGATTTTCAAATAATTACTAGAAAAATAAATAAATAAATTACTGTATGATTGAAGAATATCACTGATAAATTGTGAATTTGCAATAAATATCCTCTTTATTTCTTGGATCCTGACAGATATCTTAATAATGCTTACAATTATATAGGCATGCCAATATTTCCCTGGAGATGCTATTGAAACTTGTTGCAGTCTTTGGACCAGTAGTCCGCTCAACCATTTCAGCACCTCCAGTCATTGGTCCCGATCTTCATGCAGAGAAAAGGTACAGCTATCAACATCTAATGGAACTTTTTTTTTGTGGTTCCATTCCCACCCACCATTCTAAATATATGGCAGTGAATGGATGAGAATTACTTGTATAGCACACTGATTTCTTCTTGAAAATTTTCTCTGACAGACTCGAATGCTGCAGTCAGTGTTTTATCCATCTGCAGAAGATCCCAAAAATTCTTCCGGTGTTTATAAGGTAAAGAAGCTGTTTCGTGGTTAGTCAGCTTTTTATTAAATGTGAGAACATTAGGTTTAGATGGTGTTGTCAGAAATCGGTCTTCGCTGTTTAGCTTGCCTGATAAATTGGTAGTCATGAAATCCCTCTTTTCATGTCCCAAATGGCCAAATCTATCTTAAACCATTTCTTCTTTAAAAGAAGACGTAATGGACAATCATGAAGTAAACTACATAATGGAAACTCGTTATATTGGAAAAGACATGGTAATAAAGTTTAAGAAATATGTAGTTTCATCTTCCAAGTTTTGCAATTGTAAATATAAACACAAGCTGGTTAGTTCAATCTCTATACCACTTTTTACAAAGTTACCCATTTAAACATATTAGGTTGTTGAATAGCTTTATTTGCTTTCTTGCCTCAAGTAACGACGAATGTGGTTTCGCAACTCATAACTCTTTTTTAATCTATTTACTAATGATTTTCTGTAGGAGAGGTGGTCTACTGGCGAAATGTGCTCAAGAACTAAATCTAGTTCTTCAAAACTCATGACCCCCATAATCCACCACTGCCATTGAAGGGGGTCATGCACTAGCTCAGCTGTTAGCCTTTTAATAGGATTCACATGAGAGCTAACCATGTTGATATTGAGTCACCCACAATTTTGTCTATATTATGCCGATACCTGTTTCAGCTGCTAGTAAGAGATAGTCTCTCAATACATAGGTCTGTCGGCAGCGCGTTCTTCTAATGATTATAGTATGTAATATTTGACAATCATATGTATATTGTACTTGTAATAGTCCAACTAGATGTGTACATTGTGCTTCTTTAATGCAAATGAAATTTATGTTCCATCTTGTCTTCTGGTGATCTCTCTTGCTCAGCAACAGCCTTGATTGATTCAACCATTTTGTCTTTGTTTTCGATTCTCTAAATTATGGTTCAATTCTGTTTTTAGTGTTTTGAGTTTTTATAACTGTGTTCCGGGGATAATATAGTTTGATTACAATGTGGGTACTCTTGTTAAATTTTAACTTTTGATGTTAATGCGTTGTTTGATTGTCTTCAATGCTATACATTGGTGATTAAATTTGAGTATGTGATGATGTTGTAGTGTATTGTGTCCACAGTTTACCACGGAATCCAGAAACTAAACTAGTCTGGATAATCTATTTACACTTAAATCGAGCATAGAACAATATAAAAATAATTAATATATGATTTAACTTATTTTAGTTGAGTCTCATCACATCTGTATTTTCTCAAACAGGAAGCATTAATAAATACATAATTTGACAAAAATTGAAAAAGTTTCTTAAAAAAAGAGAGACCAGTTTAAAAGCCATCCTTTTAAAAGCTGAGTGAAAAACACTTTATAGTTGGATAACATTGAAGATTGAATTGAATGAAACAACTACATGAAGTACATTAAACATTACAACGGATAAAAGAACATAAAAGCTACCACTTTTTACAAAGTTCAATCTCTATACCACTTTTTACAAAGTTACCCATTTAAACATATTAGGTTGTTGAATAGCTTTATTTGCTTTCTTGCCTCAAGTAACGACGAATGTGGTTTTGCAACTCATAACTCTTTTTTAATCTATTTACTAATGATTTTCTGTAGGAGAGGTGGTCTACTGGCGAAATGTGCTCAAGAACTAAATCTAGTTCTTCAAAACTCATGACCCCATAATCCACCACTGCCATTGAAGGGGGTCATGCACTAGCTCAGCTGTTAGCCTTTTAATAGGATTCACATGAGAGATAACCATGTCGATATTGAGGCACCCACAATTTTGTCTATATTATGCCGATACCTGTTTCAGCTGCTAGTAAGAGATGGTCTCTCAATACATAGTTCTGTTGGCAGCGCGTTCTTCTAATGATTATTTCTATATGGATACTATTGTATGTAACATTTGACAATCATATGTATATTGTACTTGTAATAGTCCAACTAGATGTGTACATTGTGCTTCTTTAATGCAAATGAAATTTATGTTCCATCTTGTCTTCTGGTGATCTCTCTTGCTCAGCAACAGCCTTGATTGATTCAACCATTTTGTCTTTGTTTTCGATTCTCTAAATTATGGTTCAATTCTGTTTTTAGTGTTTTGAGTTTTTATAACTGTGTTCCGGGGATAATATAGTTTGATTACAATGTGGGTACTCTTGTTAAATTTTAACTTTTGATGTTAATGCGTTGTTTGATTGTCTTCAATGCTATACATTGGTGATTAAATTTGAGTATGTGATGATGTTGTAGTGTATTGTGTCCACAGTTTACCACGGAATCCAGAAACTAAACTAGTCTGGATAATCTATTTACACTTAAATCGAGCATAGAACAATATAAAAATAATTAATATATGATTTAACTTATTTTAGTTGAGTCTCATCACATCTGTATTGTTTTCTCAAACAGGAAGCATTAATAAATACATAATTTGACAAAAACTGAATAAGTTTCTTAAAAAAAGAGAGACCAGTTTAAAAGCTGAGTGAAAAACACTTTATAGTTGGATAACATTGAAGATTGAATTGAATGAAACAACTACATGAAGTACATTAAACATTACAACGGATAAAAGAACATAAAAGCTGTGAAACGATGGCACAAACACAGGTTTTATTGAATTATGAACAATGGGTAGGATACAAAAGGGAGATTGGTGTACAAGTGCTCTATTTTTCTTTTCTGACCATGACAAAACCAGGTGCTAATCAGAGGAGCATGATCAAACTGCACTAGTCAGGCCCCGAGGGTGTAACCTCAATTTCTACAACCATGATTGTCAAATACTTGGAAAATTTACAACAAAAAGTAAATGCGCAAGTCAATCTAACTTGGATTCCATGGTAGACAGGCTTCTATTTAACGCTCTTTCCATGGGAGCGACAGCTGGTTTCAAGGTCTGCTGAGGTCACTGAAAATGGCTTGACAGATGATCTCAGTGATTCGGGTCCCTCGGCAATGATTCTCTTGCATAATGACTCACAGTTGCTAATAACCTTAGTCAACCTTCCCTTCAGCTCCCCAAGATCAACCTGCAATGCATGAACTGCATGCAATTTTTATACACAGTTAAATAACAACTTTAATGTGAAGTCTAATTATACAAGCCCACAATCTACAACATCACATCAACAGATTCTCAAAATAATAGTTCAAATCAAGCAAGTCATCCTTTCATCAGGTACATGAGCACATTCAAGAAGAACCAAGGTACGCAACTTGGGCTTCCACCAAAATTTTCAGGGCTAAGCGTTCTTAATTGAACAGTTATTGCCTATCAACGGCATTATGTAATATGAGATTTGGGTTGGTGAGCAGTTTCTTAGAAATTGTTTTTTTGCAACCTGCAATGGGCTTGTGCTTTTTTTTTTTCCCTTTCTTTATTTTTATTTTTATTTTTATTATATATATATATATTTAAGTTTATTTATTGAAGAGTCTAGGCAAGAACATCACTCACCTTCTGATAGATAATGCGAAGTAGTCTTCATTGTCGAGACTGAATAATTAAAACGCTGAAGAAGTTTAACTGTCAAAGCATCTGCAACTTCTATCTTGTTTTCTACCTCTTCCTGCATCAGTTATAATCGATTATCATAATATGAAGCAAAACAAATCAAATGGATATCCATGGATTCTGCCACTAAATACTAGACAGGGTTCAGGTGAGCTGGCTGCAGATCTAATCTTATCCATGCCTTGTCCAGACAGAAGACATAAATATGCTTACTGCAATAACAGCACTATTGTAAAATATGACTTTTATCATTCTCAAAGTGAACCTGTTTCTTACTAATCGTCTGGATTTTTGCCTCCTGCCAATCACGGTACATTGAGAAGAGCTCCAGCAGCACCATCGAATTTACTGTATCAATTTCATCCATAGGAATGTTATACTATTTCAAAATGATGCATTACATACAAAAAATGGTGTGAATAAAGTAATAATACATGTGTACTCAAAAACACAAGCTACACCAAATTAAGTTGCAACCGTTACTATATCCAAAAAGAATAGGTCAAATGTTTCATTTGTGCATGCATATATATCAAATATGCATCTGCAATGTGAAACTGTTCCAGCAGACTGTAATGCTTCCATGCTTTTTACACATGAATAACTTGAATGAATATTATTTCACACACACAAGTATGTTCATCATAAGAACGAAACTCAGAAGGAACTGACAGGGGCGTGCACAAGTGGTAAGAGGCATGTGGCTTAATTCGATGCGAAAGAATTACATCAAAACACACATGGAGACAGAGATGAACGGGAAGTGGGTATTAAAGTTATGGGGCATGATTCACTTTCAGCAGTTGACATCTTTAGAATGACATGTAAAATAGAATTAGTACATTGAAGCACTTTCCTATGAGTTATAATTATAACACAAATTCTTGCTCAGTTCCACCCTAGCCCATTCTTGGAAGAGCAGACAAACCCCATCTCTCCCTCATGAAATAACTTAGGTTAGGTTACGTTTGGTAGAACTTTCTAAATATGATTTGAGAGCAGGAGTTGTATTTTGAATTTGTGGGTTTTGGAATTATGATTTCAGTGTAGAAAATTTGTTTGGTTATGGTTTTTGAATAGAGTGTTGAATTGAGTTTTGAATTGTATGTGGAATTGAGTTATAAAAGTTTGATGTGACATGTGAGATAAAAAAATTTGTTTGGTGATAAGTTTTCAAAATAGTTTTCAAAACTTAATACAACCTATAATTGATAATCAAACACACAGCTCACAACTCGATATCCGTGTTTTTGATCAACAGTCATAACCAAACTATTTTCAAAATACTCAAATAAAAAAATGATTTTTTTTTTGAATAGTTTTTTTTTTCAAATAATTTTTATGTCAATTATTTTTTCTGTCAATTCATTTTTTAGGCCTGTATAAACATTTTGTGCAATACGTTTTTAATATTTTTCAAAAATTTTGTTTAAACCAACACGTTTGGAGATTACATATTGATAAAAATTAACAAAAACCAATTTATTAAATTTTTTTAAATACAAACCAAAACATAAACGTTACCAAACATTATCAACATTTTTTCATTTGTTAAATTTTATTAATTTAATAAAAAATTCTTTATGTTGTACGTTTTTTTAGCTTCATTATTGTCCCTCACTCCTGCCTCACCCGTGAAGCTCATATTATTGGGGGCTATTGATTGTTGTATTTGACTATAAAATGACTAACTTGCCCCTCTTTCATAGAATGTCAAATTACTATGTAAGTATAAAATGAAAAGGGCAATAGTGTAATTTCACTCATGCAATAGACCCCCCTCTCTCCTCTGCTGAGTGTCAATTAGTCACTGTTCGATAAAGGAAAAGAAAAAAAAAAGGCCAAAACTGAGTACAGACTGTCAGTGATCAATATATGAAAGAAATGAAAAATAAATAAAAAGTGCTATAAGTCAGTATTCGATGAAAAAAAAAAAATTTCTGGAACTGAGGCTTTATATAAGTCAGCATCTTCATTTGTATAACTACACCATCTTCACCATCTTTATTCCAACAACTTCAGCAACTTCTTCACCATACAATATCATAAATTCAATGTAGATATCCGTATAAAAGAAAAGACAAAGAGCTTTCATAAGAGATTAGTTTGAACCACAACTTCATATTCTTCATAGCTTCACAATTTCAAAGCTAAGCTGCACAAAGCCGAATATTTCAGCAAACGAGACAACCGGCCGGTCAACCGGTTTCAGTCCCAGCTTCCACTAGTTTGCTTGCCTTTTGCGCTCAATTTGGCTATCTGTTGCTTGGCTTTTGCACCAGCAGCAGAGGCTCAGTTTGGCTATGGTTTTTTTTTTCACACCATTTTCATACATTTTTCTATACATCTTTCATACATTTTTGATACGTTTTTCTTAACTTTTGCAGTCATCATGCTGAGAACAAAAAGAGCGAGACCCGAACGTAGCAAAACCTCTAACCCTTTACAACGTCAACAACATCATCATTATCCAACTATTGATTTTCTCACATACAATCACGAACAAGCTTATTCAAATTTTGCCAATCGACCAATTGTTACGGGGAGAAAGATAAATCTACCTTTTCAATATGATCCACTGTTACTTGGCAGACTGGATACGATGGGATGGTTACCTTTAACTAATTTACCACAAAAGGTATATCCCCGTCTTGTATATTTATTTTACCTTCACTTGAGACCTACTGAGGGAGAAGTGGAACAGTATAGTCTGACCTCTTATGTGAAAGGTACAGTAATCACACTAAAACCCCACACTTTCGCACAAATTATTGGAGTTCAGACCGGGGATTTGCAATGCCATTTTCAGACAGAGTCTCAGTTAGCTAACATTGTTGGTGATCTGACTGAGGTTTATACCACAATTTGTGCGAATTGATTTACCGGCACTAATTTACAAGCAAGACATTTAAAACCCCACCTTCGTATTCTTCATTGATGGATAGTTGAAAATGTCACTCCCAAAAAAGGACATTTTGATGTTGTTCCATGTTTTAATGTTTATTTGTTATATTATTTTAAAATTAGACAAACATTAGATTTATGCTACATATTACTGAAAGAAATGATGGTTGCAAATCTTGGTACTCTCAGTGGCCGGTCACTACCTTTTGGAGCTTTGTTAACCAAAATTTTCAAAGCGCATCATATCAACGTTGAAGGTGAAGTAGATGTGAAAATTACTTCACCAATTTCTGAGTATACATTGACCTAAGCTGGTGGTGTTGAAAACTTACTGGGCGCTATTAATTTTGCAAATGAACCAATACCTGATCCGGAAGACCCCAATGACAATGCCATGCCACCAAATCAACAACCCCAATACTAGACTGATTATTTAGCTTTGGAACAAGAACAGTACAATCAGCGTCTACAATGGGAACAACAAATAACTAATCAGGTCAATACATTGGGTACTTGTTTCGATGAATTTGCCGCCGCTCAGAACTCACTAATTCAACAATTTGGTGAGTTTCGTGCAGACTTTAGGAGACATGATGAAGTGACAAGTAACCGCATTGATCAGATTGACCATCGAGTCACTCAGGTGTACCATCACTACTTCCCTCCACCTCTACCACCACTTGACAATGATGCTTAACTTGTTTCGATGAGCGATTAAATGGTTCACACATGCTGTGGTTATTTTGTTTTCTTGTTTTGTTGTATTATTTTGTATTAACGTTATGAATAGTAAATTTTTTGTGTGCACTCTAAAATTAACCAGTGACAATGTTATAATAATTTGTGAGTTGTATTATGAAGTAAAGATGCCATATGCTTTTTTTTAAAAGGTGCATATTATACATCTCCCCTAACTGATGCACGAATGTTAATTACAATAACGATTACAACTTTCGTCGACAACATCATAAAAATTAATAGAACAATTAATTTGATATTAAAATTAATAAAAAAATGCATATAAAAATTAATAAACAAAATTAATAGAACAATTAAAATTAATAACAAAACCATTATTTGAATCAAATGAAAAAAAAAATTAATAAAAAATTATTTTGAAAAAAAATTAATAGAACAATTAAAATTAATAACAAAACCAATATTTTAATAAAATGAAAAAAAAAGTTAATAAAAAATTATTTCGTATACAAATTAATAAAAAAAATTAAAATTAATAACAAAACCATTATTTTAATAAAAAAATTTCGTATAAAAATTAATAGAACAATTAAAGTTGATAACAAAACCATTATTTGAATAAAATGAAAAAAAATTAATAAACAAAATTAATAGAACAATTAAAATTAATAACAAAACCATTATTTGAATAAAATGAAAAACAAAATTAATAAAAAATTATTTCATAAAAAAATTAATAGAACAATTAAAATTAATAACAAAATCATTATTTTAATAAAATGAAAAAGAAGTTAATAAAAAATTATTTTGTATACAAATTAATAAAAAAATTAAAATTAATAAGAAATCTATTCGTGGCGAACAATTTTTTTTCAATAAAAAGTTAATGAACATCATAAACTGAATGAATATCATAAACTACAATTTTTGAATGGATCATTCAACTATCAACTACAATAAAGTGTTTGTCCCTGCATATTATACATTGCATCAACAACATATTTAGGTGTCTTCATTAACGTAATAACGTTTTGTTGATTGGCCATGTAATGATCTTTGTTTTCCCTTTCCTTTAATTGCCATTTAGCCCAATCGTTGTCCTTATTGGTAGTTATCCTACAAAAAGAGGAAATAAGTCATATTTCGTATAAAAATTAATGGAACGATTAAAATTAATAACAAAACAATTATTTTAATAAAATGAAAAAAAAAGTTAATAAAAAATTATTTCATATACGAATTAATAAAAAAAATTAAAATTAATAACAAAACCATTATTTTAATAAAATGAAAAAAAAAAATTAATGAACATCATAAACTACAATTTCTGCATGCATCATTCAACCATCAACCAAAAAAAATGTTTGTCCCTACATATTATACATTGCATCAACAACACATTAAGTGTCTTTATCCACGTAACTATATTTTGTTAATTGACCATGTGATGCTGTTTGACAAAGAAATTTGATTTGGGTTCCCTTTCCTTTAATTGCCATTTAGCCCAATCCTTGTCCTCATTGTTAGTTATCCTACAAAAAGAGAAAAAAAAAAAAAAAGTCATTAAATTCACAATCACAAAAAAAGTGAGGGAATTTATGTAATAAAGGTGTCATAATAATTGAAACTAGTAAAATAATTATACATTTTCAACCATTAATCACTACGAAATTCACTTGCTTTGTTCACATCACAAATTTAGCCATGGCCAACATGATTTTGCCACATAATAGTAGCAATTGCATCTCTAAAGTTTGATTGGTACGCCAACCCATGTTGTGACATGTCAACATACTCAGCTTGCTCTCCAACAAACCCGTCTCCTTCCGCTTCTGCCGCCTTTTCATTATCAGCTTCCATGAAGAATGAGTCCATATCTGCATGCAAACGGATCCAATTGTGCAGTATACAACATGTAATCACGAGAGGGCCTTGTCTCTTAGACTTATAATTTGGCATGGACCACAATATTGGAAATCGCTTCTTCAGAACACCAAATGTTCTTTCTATGATATTGCGTAACAACGAATGTCGATGGTTAAACAATTCCTTGGGTCCAGAATAATGACGGCCATGAAACTCTTGCAAGTGATAGCGTTGGGAACGAAATGGGGCAAGAAATCCAGGCATGTTCGTGAAACCAGCATCCACTAAATAATACTTGCCAACATGTAAACAATGAATACACTGCTCTGTCAAATAGATATACAAAAAACTAATTTCAAAAAATGTACAGTGTGTTATTTGGTGACACTCACCATGGAGTGGGTGTGGGAACTGTAGATCAGCTCTTGTAATAGAGTAAACTAAAATAGCGTTGTCGTGAGCGCTACCTTCCCATCTAGAATTAATAAATGTGAACAACATGTCGAAGTCGCAAGCTGTGAGTACATTTTGCGATACCGTAGATTTGCGATCGCGGAATGTATTTTGTCTTGAAGTAGGGACCCATGCATCTACCAATGTGCCATCAATAGCACCGACACAATCCTACTTGAAAGATATTTGTTTGACATTAAAAGCGAAACAAACTTGGATATTACTTTTATAACATGAAAAAAAAAATATCGTTCCTTATTGTTATTGAAAACTTACAGGACAAACATATAGTCATATCTTGAACCAGGAAAAAAATCTCTTGTCATTTAAAATTTTTGCCGGTATCTCGTCTTGGTTACGTGGTTTGATAACCGTTGATGCAAGCTTGCACAGTGCCTGCATAACAATTTTGATGTGCCGACAAATAGTTTTCGTGGAATGTTGAAATCTATCAACCAGTAGTCAATGGCGGTCATTTTGTGCGAAAGTGTATAAAAAAATTCTAAGCGATTCCTCGACACTGATATGCATATGTTCAGTGTTGATAAAGCCATTTTGAAGTAAAGTGTCTTTCAATAAAATGAATATTTGTGCATCCATTTGCATAATGTCCATCATTGTTTCTGAATAGCCATTTAATAAATTGAAGATGTAATCATCACCTTTGAATGGACAAGTTCGCCGCGGTGGTCTACTACTTGACGCATTCATATGGTCATGCATAAAAGCAACCATCAAAAAATCCATAAAATCTTCAATAACCTCATCCTCCTCTGATAAGATCTCTATTGCATTGTTTTATGTGTCGGATGACATATTGTTTCGTCTACATCGCAGTAAAAACATAATTATAAAATAATGTTTGACAACATGCTAACTGTTACCATTATTGGTGAAACTAAATTAACAAGTAGCTACATTTAGTCGGCCTTAGTCATTTACCAGCATCCACTAAAATATATACATGAAGAAAATTTGTTTTATATGTATTCATCTTGTCATAAGAATATGGACATAAAAGAACGCAGAACAATAATACAACATATTGATGTAAAACATAAACTACTTAAGAATTCAATAAAAATAAACATACGAAGATGGATAAAAAAGAGCATATCATGGGATGAAAAAAAATGATAAAAAACAAATCAGGAATCATCAAATCATCTTGCACAACTACAAAGAGAATCGCTAACTCAATCAAAACACAACTTCTCACTTCAGTGCAAAGCTAGGATTATAGCTAGGCACATATGGGTAGGAGTACGCATAAAAAACCTTCGCCATTCCTTGTCTTTAAATAGTGTCAGTGTCCTAACGTACTAGACCGATGGTATGTCCCTAAGCTCTAGCAATACATCTTAACATGCATCAAGAGAATACTCATCACCACCTGCACTTACAACCTTTGTGTCAGTTGATCGTGCACGCGAATGTTCTGTTTTTTCCTGTATGTAGGTAGTGAAAGTTGCGCACACATCATCGAACCCACTTGACCGTGACTTTTTAGAACGACCACTGTCAGTCTGGCTGCTTGTAGGGCCCCTCTTGTGACTTTTGCCCTTCACTTTTATCGCCAAATAAGTCAATAGGAATGGCTTCAGCAGCATTACTCCCACTAGCTTCAGGGCTCCAAAATTTATTAAGCATTTCATCTTCTTCATTTGAGTCAAAGGCTCCTTGTGTGGATGCACGAGACAAGGCCCCTGTGGTACAACAATTTTCAACAATTTCCGTCATTTCTTGGAAATACTCAAATCCTTTTGTCATAAACTTCTTTACATTTTTTGTAGCCTAAAGCAATTGAAAATATTGAAAATAAGCATACTGTATGTGTGATGAAATGTTACAAAAAAAATTTGAAAATGGTACGGGTTAATGAAAAACCTTATCCCAAAATTCATCGGGTGCAACAATAGTTCCTACAATGGGATCTCATCCCAGACCAGTCTGTGCCTGCAGTCGTTTAAACGTATGGTAATCAGCTTTCAATCACTGATATTTTTGTTGCACCTCCTTTGATGTATACCGAAATCCATACAGATTTTGCAACTGATTTGCAAAATGATTCCAATGCCTAATTGTCCACACAGTACTACGGCCTGTTGTTTGAATTTTTGTAACCTCTTCCCTCAACATGTTTATTAATTTCATTTCAATTCTGGGAGTCCACATTCTTGTATCTTGATTGTCATCTGAATTGTTTCCATCCATCTAAAAACACAATTTATATTTAAACTTCTCTGGAGTAGATATAAAAAAAATAACAGAGAAAAAATCAACTACAATTATTTATGTTTAAGCACGATTCAAAATTAATGTTTATTTGAACTTGTTAAATAATGTTAGGAAAAGCAGATTAATTGAAGGGCAAAACAGATACAAAATAAAAATCAGATAATATTGTCTATAAAAAATAACCAAAAATAAGCAAAAGAATAAGAGTAGAAAAAGAGAAGCATGAAAGGGTGGCTGGGAAAACACGGTGGTCGACCGGCTGGATGACCTAGGGGAGGAGTCCTGGCCGTTGATTGGCTCAGCTTAAACCGTTCAAATAGTTTAGACAGATCAGAAACCATTTCTATACCCATTTCGACTTCTCAGAAACCATTTCAGAACTCATTTCTACATACCAGATGGATTGAAGGATATACGTACCAGATCAGTGGAAGTTGAATAGTTGTCACCGGTGATGGACTGGGTACAGTGAGTGAATGTGCGCTTCTTTGGTAGTCGTTTGATTTGAGAATAGGTTTAACAAATTTGACCTGTGACAAAAAAAAAATTGAAATAAAATTGGGGATGTTTTCAGAAAATCAGTGAGCTGTAAAAAAATATTTGGAAGAAATTTGTGATTTATTTGACCTCGGTGTCGTCATTGTTTGGTTGCCCGGAGAATGAATCTTCCACAACGCACAAATTGTAACTCACTTGATTTGTGGGAGATGGTATGGGCAGGAAGGGGATTCACAGACATAGTTTATAAAATGGTCTCAGTTCACAGGAACGAATGCTACCCATGACGAATCATCAGCCGTGATCTTTCAAATAGAGGAAGATGAGTAAATCAGTTCAGCTTTAAATTTCTTTTTGCACGTGAACCTTTCAGAAATGAGGAACATGGAAGGCTTTTCAAAAATGGAGAAGACTAAAGATGTTGGAAACTTTTGACAGTGGAGAAATGAAGAAGAAAGCTGCCAAACAGGAAGTCGAAATGTGTTTTGAATGATATGGTGGAATTGTATTTTCAAAATCGTATCCAAACGTGAAGCGGGAATGATAGGGTGGAAATCCAATTTGAAAATACAACCAAACAGAGCCTTAATTTTTTTGTGATGTGTTGTTTTTCAAGTCATTTTGGAACACTTCTATATAATATGTATACAACTCATGAGCTTCCAAATTCCCAAATAACAGTTCTCCAAAATTTTTAAAAAAAAAGAAAAAGAAAAAAGAAAAAAAGATCACCTAAAGCAGAAGAGGATGAGGGTCTTCTCACTAGACTGTCTGTCAAGCTAGTCTCCTTTTCCAGTGGTGCTGTCAGTATTGGAGTTGCCTGCATTAAGAAATAAATACATACATGTAAATCATATATCATGAAACCAGCATCAAAGAGAAGATGATTCCAAAAGGTTGAACTATAATAAAGGTAATGGTAACCTAAACAAAACCAAAAGAGGCCTATACAAACGATATAAAAGGCCTGCAAATCGCTATAGGTGAAAAGAATCAACAAAATGATCTAGATTGGGAGAGACTTACCCAGAAACCCAACTATACAAAATAGCCAAAAAGCAACTCTTTAGCCAATGTAAAGGCACATGTTCCCCTTTAAAGGTCCTTTTGTTTTGCTCTTTCCAAAGATGCCACATCAAACACAAATGATCTAACAACTCCCCATCATATTTATACATAAAACACCAATTTATATAAAATAAAATATAAAATTATCATCTTCTAATAAGTTTATAAATCGTGAGCTATGTACATTGGTGTAGACACATTGGGGATACATAATTTCTGAAAATTTTGGCAGGTCAAAATGTAAAATATGGAAAAGATAAAACAATAGAAAAACACTTCATCACTTAGTTAAGATAAGCCCTAGCCTAGAGAGAGAAGAGAAAAAGAAGAAAGAAGAGACAGAGGAGGGTCGTTGTTCCCTAATTTCTTGAGAACGCTTTGTTGTTCATAGACTCTCTCTCTCTCTCTCTCGCTTCTTCCTCTCTCTCTCTCTCTCTCTCTCTCTCTCTTCTTCGTGAAAGCTTACCGTAATTTTTTTTTATTCCTCTATGTTGGCTTGATTTTTTTCTCCTCTTTTTTCTTGTCAAAGCCCACTTCTACGTTAAGCCCCCAAATGAAAAAGAAGAGGCTTTGTTGGAGTCACATTGTCTCAGTCTCTCTCTTCTTCGCAGAACATCTTGCTGACTACATTATTATTTTTAATAGTGCAAAAATTAGAATAAAAATTCTTGTGGGTACTATGATTGTTATGTAAATTAGGTTTCGAAATTTCTACTGTTATTAGCCTATTGTGATTGTTATCTAAGTTAGGTTTTGAAATTTTAGTCACTTGAGGAAAAAGTTCAATTTTTTTAGGTAAATTACACTGACCTCTCTTGAGATTATGACAACTGTAGAGAGAGTTTTTAAAATGATCTCTCTCTCTCTCTCTCTCTCTTCTTCGTGAAAGCTCACTGTAATTTTTTTTAATTCCTCTATGTTGGCTTGATTTTTTTTCTCCTCTTTTTTCTTGTCAAAGCCCACTTCTATGTTAAGCCCCCAAATGAAAAAGAGGAGGCTTTGTTGGAGCCACATTGTCTCAGTCTCTCTCTTCAAAATTTCTACTGTTATTAGCCTATTGTGATTATTATCTAAGTTAGGTTTTGAAATTTTAGTCCCTTGAGGAAAAAGTTCAATTTTTGTAGGTAAATTACACTAACCTCTCTTGAGATTATGACAACCTATGAAGCACAGACACACATACGAACACGGACACAGGACACGGGACACAGTAGTTTCTAAAAAATGGGGACATGGACACGGCAAGGGACAAAGCAAATTTTTTAACTTTTGTATAAATATTTTTATTTTAATACACATTAATTATTTTATTTATTTATCATATTTTTTAAATAATGTGTTCCAATTAATTTTTTTATTTTATTTTATTTTACATACATGTGTTTATTTTTTTATTTATTAATATGTATAAGTATATATTATCTTATAAGTATATTTATGTTATATAATAACTATTATTATTATCATGTTTCCTCATACGGTGTGTTCACTCATACCCTTTCCGGGAACCCCTATATCCTTCAACTGCCTAAACCTAAGGACTTACTCTGGATTGGGATGAAAGGTGGGTGGCTACTGACAAAGTGGAAAACAAGAGATAAGTTAAGCAAGAATAAGGAAACTGGAATTTAATTGAAGAAAATCAAATAGGAAGGTTAAGCAGAGATAATAATTTAACAATAAGTACTTATCAACAACTTGGCTCTGATACCAAAAGAAGCAGAAGGAAGCATCATTAATTAATTAAAATCAAAAACTTATAATAATACAATTGTTTACTGGAAATAAAAGTTACAATTGTTTACTGGAATGAAGCAAACAGTTCTTCAAAATACATGACTTGAAAACGAATTTTGAAAATATAAAATTACAGAGATAACTATTTTTCTTGAGGAATGAGCACTCAAATTTTCTAACTCTGCCTTATTCTTGACTGAAGATGCTCTTTTATAGATAAAAAGAGTTACTGTGAGCCTTGTGAATGAATCTGACTTTGAAAGAAGCACATGGGAGCTGTCTGCAACTTTCGGTGAGCGACTAAAGTTGATGGTTGCCTTTGATTGTTCTGTTATTGTGAGCCTTGTGAAGGAATCTGACTTTGAAAGAAGCATATGGAAGCTGTCAGCAACTTTCGGTGAGTGACTAAAGTTGATGACTGCCTATGATTGCTCTGAATTTGTCGGTTGGATAAATTATGATATATGATGAATAGTAATGTTGACTTTTGATAAATAGTGAACAGTAAATTTGACTTTTTTCACTATTCATTACTTTCTGATGGAGGCAAGTGACTGAGGGAATCAATATAGATATATTTATCAGGAGCTTTTCTCAAAAGAAGAGTATTGATTGAAGTTGATAATTATAGCTATATAGAATCCAATGATTGAATTGGGCATATGGGTCCTGAGCATCTTGGAACTGGGGCCCATAAAGATCCTGATTAGTTGAACCTGAAGAAGAGTGTGCACCATTTGAACCTTCTAATGAACTGTCTTCATCAGATTGTGACTTGGCTTGGGCCATGAGTAGACGGGCTATCTGAAGAAGCTCATCTTTAGATGACTTGGATTTGACTTTGGGCTTAGTCTGAGATGGGCTTGGAAGAGCTAGAAGTTGGGCTTCCAAGATTGACTGGAGGAAGTTGGCTTCCTTGGGTTATTGAAGGAGTTGGGTTTTACTGAGCTTTAATCATGGCAGGAGTAGGAGCATGAAGGTTGACTGGAAACTCAGCTTGAACTTGTTCAATGATGCGTGGAATTTTGAAATTATCCCACCATTTAATTGAGTGTCGACAAAAAATTATATCACCAGCAATATCATATTGCCATTTAAATATCCATGGAACTTTGTATTTGGATATAAAAATGAGCAATGTAGGAAATTTCTTTTGTTGTGGACTGAATGAGAAAACAGTAGAAAAATAATTGACTTGTTCAATTATGATAGAGGGGAAGATAGTATTAATAACCCCATATTGAGTCCACCAACGGAGGAACCAAGTGGGGAATTCTGACTTGAATTTATGATCAAATTGGAGAAACTAAGAGTGACTGTTTGACTCACTTTGATACAAAAGAACTTCGAACCAGGCATCGATATAATCATAGTAACTGTATTGAATGGTATGACCAGGTAAATCACAGAGTTGGAAAGGAGGACCCTATTCATTCAAAGAGATGATATTGTGAATATACAATGAATGGTACACAATCTTACTGGTGTAAGTCCGATCATAAATAGGTTTAATAACAATAGATTGATGGTTAAACAGAATGTCTTTGTAATAAGTAATTGACTTTTCTGGATGAAGAAGAAGAAAATGCCATCCAGGAAGAAAGTATGATTTGACTAGGTCAAGAACAGTCTGAGTATGCTAGTGATTGGGTTCTTTGAAAAAGAGATTAGTGGTATGAGATTGAACATAATCAAAACGAGCAGATTTAATAGGGTTAGGAGGGTAAGGAGTAACTGACTGAGAGGAAGATGTAAATGGATCAGTGACCAAAGCAGAGGTATAACTAGGTTTAGGAATATTACTAAGAACTTGATAACGATTGACTAATTCAGCAGGGTGATAACGGGTGACTAATTCCAAAGGAGGAACTGGTTGACTAGAAGGAACAAGAGCCTTACTAGAAGGTCTCAAAGGTAGCTGAGCAGACATCTGAAATAAAAATAGATGGACTAGAATTAGCATCCATTGAGGATATCTAATTTGCTCATATGGTAATTAGCACAATTAATGTAGTGAGCAAGTGAATGACGGAGACTACAAATTGTATGAAAACAAATAAATTGAGCACGTTTAGTACATTTTTTGGCTAGCTTGAGGCAAGCAATATGGTGAGCTGTTTGGTGAATGAGGTTTTTGTAATAAGTGAGTTGTAATTTATGGTAGGAAATAAAAGGAGTTGCCATCCCTTATCCCCCTGTAAAAATTCTCGAGTAAGAAAATCAAGAATAGAATTTTGATAGCCAGGGATATACTAAATATCAAAATAAAAAATACTTAAAATAGATTGCCAACGGGCAAAAATTTATTTACCAGCAAGATTTTGAACATCTTTTTCTAAAACATATTTAGCAGATTTGCAATCAACACGAAGTAAAAAATTTTGGTTTAATATATCATCTTGAAATTTACTAATACATAGAACAGTAGATAAAATTTCTTGTTTAATGTACTGTAATTTTTTTGTGCTTTATTCCAGACACCATAATAGAAACGAACAATTTATTCAGGAGATTGAGGAGTAATTTTCTGAAGAAAAATACCAGCATAACCAATATCAAAAGCATCAGTTTGGATAATTTTGAAAGAACTTTCAGTAGGAATACCAAGACAAGGCAATGTCTTGATATACTTTTTGACTTGTTGGACAATAGAAGTATGAAGAGAAGACCAAGGCGGAGGATTATTTTTTAACCTATCAAAGAAGGCTTGACAAGTTTTCCTAAGGTCTTTATAAAATCCAGCAATATAGTTTAAGGAGCCTAAAAAATGTTGTAACTGATTTTTATCTATGATTTTATCAAGAAATTTAAAAGCAAATTCAATAGATCGACTAATGGGGAGAATAGTGTTTTGGTGAATGTCATAACCTAAAAATCGAACTTTAGTTTGAAAAAGTTTAATTTTAGGAGCAGAAATGACTAAACCATCATATTTAATGAGATGGAAAAAAGCATTACGATGTTTCCAATGTGCATCTATAGACTTGGAGAAAATTAGGATATCATCTATGTAAATAATAGAAAAATGGCTAAAAGGAGTGAAAATTTCATTCATAATATTTTGAAATTCACTAGGAACATTTTTTAATCCAAAGGGCATAAAATTTCATTCGTAATGGCCAAAAGATGTAGTAAAAGCAGTTTTGTAGCGATCATTAGGATGAATCTGGATTTGCCAAAAGTCACTTTTTAAATCAAATTTACTAAAAATTACAGCTTGACTAAGGCTGTGTTTGGTTGTGCTTTTGAAACGTGATTCTACACCTGTGTTTCAGTATGATGTTTGTTTAGGATTTTGTAATCACGTTTCAAAAGCTCTGCTGAGAGCTCTGTACCAAATCTGTCTCAGCCGCTCTTTTGCTCTGTTTTTTTTTTCAAAATTTTTGCTAAGGGGACGTCCGGCCTGTCGTCCGGCCGGTTGACCGGCCGGCTGTCCGGAACAGTATTTTTTTTTTTTTTTTTTTTTTTGCAATTGATTTATATAATCGGAAAAAATATTTTCTGAAATTTTTTTAATTTTTTATGTGCTTTAAAATAATTTTGAATTGTATGTTTAGTTATGAGTTGTAAATTTTTGTATCACATATCAAATGTCACATCAATAATTCCCCACTCAAATCAAACCTCTTTTCCAAAACTATTTTCAAAACTCTTTACCAAACAAATTTTCTACACTCAAATCATAACTCCACAACACACAAACTCAAAATACAACTCATACTCTCAAATCACATTTACAAAACTCTACCAAACGCTACCTAAGTCTTTTAATTAAATATTTTTTATTAGGGATTGGATAACGAATCCATTCTAAGACTTTGTTTAATGGTTTATAATTAATGACGAGACGAGGAACATCTCTTTCAAGTTCAGCATTTTTATTAACATAGAACGTAGGGCAAGACCAAGGTGACTTACTATGACTAATAATTTTATTTTTTAACAATTCATTAATTTCATTTTTACACATTTCAACTAATTCATGATTCATTTGAATACATCGAGATTTAGTAGATATTTGTCGTTCATTAAATTTTTTAATATATGGGAGTGTAACGACATATTTTTTCCTATGCCAAAAACACTGGGTAAAGTAGAACAAACAGTAGTTTCTAATTGAGTTTTAAAATGATTAATTTTAGAGATTAGAAGAGGATCAGTTAATTGAGTTTCAATTCTCTTCTAGTTTACTTCTTCTTTAAGAATTTAAGGTGTTTAGTTAATCGATTGATTGATTAAGAAATAGAACAGTCTTTTAATTGATTTAATTCCTTGACCTCAGGAGGTGATAAGAATTTAAAAGTAACTGTGTGACCAAAAGCTTGTGTGCTGCTTCCTTCTGCTTCTTTTGGTATCAGAGCCAAGTTGTTGATAAGTGCTTATTGTTGAATTATTATCTCTGCTTAACCTTCCCATTTGATTTTCTTCAATTAAATTCTAGTTTCCTTATTGTTGCTTAACTTATCCCTTGTTTTCCACTTTGTCAGTAGCCGCCCACCTTTCGTTCCAATCCAGAGTAAGCCCTTAGGTTTAGGCAATTGAAGGATATAGGGGTTCCCGGAAAGGGTATGAGTGAACACACCGTATGAGGAAACATGATAAGTTATAATTAACATTTTGGAATTGGATTTAATTTTATAAAAATCACAATGAGTCAATTATTCAAAAGTAATTCTTCAGTTAGCTCTAGGTCTACAACTCTCACTCCTATACCTAGTACAGACTTAGTATTAAATGAAGAAGAACATGAATATCAAGATGTAAAAATTGATTTAGGTTGGAATATCCTTAAAGTTAAAACTAAAGAAATATATAAAACTAGTTTTTTACAATCCACTTTTAATGTTGATCTACAAGTCAAAACTGTTGAACACGTTTATGCTCTAAGTAAACCAAGAGAAACTTGCCAATTATTATCCGAAGATGCAATTCGAAAACATCTCAAAGCTGGTCGTAATTTTATCCATTTAGGCTTAATCCAAGTAGGAATAAATCCATTAACTCAACAAGGTAAAAATACTTTTGTTTAATTGTGTTTAAGAGATGCCCGATTTATCAATTATAATGCAAGTGTAATGGATATGATGGAATCCAGCCTCCATAAAGGTCCTGTCCATTTTAATTATTTTCCTGATTTTACATTAAGTTTACGAGATCCTCACATATTAAAAGCTTTAACATTGAATATTCAACTATTTGGAGAATTTACTAATATGTTAGAAAGTGTTCATAACATTGCTTTAATTTACCGAATCTATTATAAATGTATTAAAATGAATTTAAATGTTCAAGCCTTGACCAAAAGTCCAAAGGATAAAACTTTACTAATTCAAGGCAGTACCACTGCAACCAATATTACTGTTGAAAAAATGATTCAATGGAAAGATATCAATCTTCCTAACGATTGGGTTACTGTTAATGAAAATTATTCCCAAAATCAACAATCTTCAGATAGTCAAGATATTCAATATATTCAACAATTTACTGATGGATCTGTCCATATTAGATTTAATAGAACTTACAGTCAATCTACTAGACATAGTATATCTAGTTTACCTACAGAAACTGATGAAGATGAAATTTTTAGTACCCCGTTATTCACTTGAAAAGACAGAAAACTTCACCTAAATGAATCTATCTCCCAATCTCAACATAGTAAAATGAAAGGAATTGATAATTCCTCTACTTCTCAAATTAGTAAACCAGTTTACTCTACCCACACTCATCTTCAAGAAGAATATACCGTTTCTCAAGATTCACCTACTCAAACTGATTTCGAAGTAGTACCTCCCATTAATCCACAATTATTAACTCTTAGTAAACCTTTTACTCCCAATCTTAATAAGCTTCATGCTGAATACAAATCTAACGCAAATAAAACACAACGTCATAGTTATTATAAACAATATGATTCCAAACAGCAATCCAAAATTACCAGAGAATGGTATAGGTTTATGATGGAAATCCATACTGAAATTAATTTCTTTGATTATTTAGAAAATTATTATCAAAAAATAAATGTCATTACCAAAACTAAATGGAAGACTTCTTCCAATACAATCGTTTCAGCTAGCCATCCTCCTTTAGAGAAAATTCTTATTGAACATAATGAAACTGTTGTCCCTGCTTCTCCATTCAAACTCCCTAGTGATGAATCATCTGAAGTTAAAAAAAGTCATTGAACAAAATAACTATACAAATCAATGTTTAAAAACTATTGGCAAACAACTTGATAAGATTGAAACTTCTTTTAATGAATATTCTACTAGTCATACTTCTGTCAGTAAACCTTTAGATAAACCTCTTATTAATCTTCCCAGTAATAGAAAACGATTGAGTCTAAATACTCAAGATCATACCACTGTTGATGCCATTGAAAAAATATTTAGTCAATTATCTACATCCACCAGTAAAGAAACATCTACCTCTACCACTAAAGGCATTACTGTCTCAACACAACAGCCTCCATTAGAATTTCCCATTCAATCAGACACATCTAGTGATAATGAGATTAATCATCTAGCCCAACCATTTCAACCTTTTCATCTTAATAAAATCACATATTCTAAAGCTACAAAAGTTAACCCTACCACTCACCAAAAATTGGTGTACTAAACCGACACCTCCTGATCTCCAATTTGAAGAAACAAATATTAGTAATCAATTTTTTGTTTGGACTAAAAAATTATATGAATGGAATATTGATGGTATTAGTGAACACCAAATACCGCTAAAACTCAATCATTTGTCTGTGGTCTCTAATAGTTATCTTAATAATTATCCTAATCATACTCAACCAGAAATAGTCCTCTTAATCACTACTAGATTTATTGGTACCCTCAAAGCTTAGTGGGATAAATATCTCACTTTTGATCAACAAGAATCCATCCAATATGCTGTTCAAATGAATGATGAAGGTTTTCCCATTTT